GTTTATCCATGGTTCGAGATTATTTGTGTTGTTTTTATTATTTCTTATTGGTATGAGTTTATTACAAGCTAATATATATTTTTTAACAAAGTATTCATAATCTTCATCAATACTTGAGTTGGTAAATTTTGACTCCCAATCTATTTTATTAAAGTATTGTTTAATTAATTCATAATTACCTTTGTCGAATGCATATTTTTTTCTTAAATTATTGTCGTAATTATTGGTTGTTGATTTATTTAATAAATAGCGCCAGATAAGAACTAGATGACCTCTACCTCTGCAAGTAGTACCGAGGGGAGGAAAGTCTAGTAGTTGATCAAGCCGTTCAGGTTGGTTCATTATTATGTAGTCCAAAGTTGTTTTAGCTGATTCATCATGATTTTTAATAAATGTTGGAAAATTGACTAATTGAGTTAAATTATTGTCGTGTAACGTTTCAATAAATGTTTGTTCATATTGTGTGGAAGTTCTGGGTGTATTGTCGCTATCCCATTCAATGCCGGCTAAATTAAAATCTCCCGCAATTACTATGCTAGTAAATAGGCCTTTATTTCTTAGTTCTTTTGCTCGTTTAATTGATTTCAGTATTTCATTAATTGTTGTTGCGTCGTCATTTGGTCTGTAAATGCATCCTACTAAAATCGATTCAGAAGCAATTTTTATATTGCACCAAATCTGTTCAATATTCTCTCTACATAGCTGATTGTCAGTTATTTCTAATGACTTAAGATGATTCGAAACATAAATACATACACCACCACCTTTAGAATCACGATCTTTTCTAAAAATAGTGACATTTGTTATGTTTACAATTGATGAATTAGTGAACCATGTTTCAGTTAGCATTATGACGTCCGACGGATTTGTGTAAGATAACATCAATTCAGTTTGTTTTGTAGTTTGTTTTGCGTAAAAGATGTTGGGTTAGTGTATAAAAAGTTGATAAATTGTTTACCTGATTCTGAAGATATGGTATTGTTGTAATTATTTGGTGAGTTGAATATGACATTTTTGTCTAATTTAATTATGATGTTGTCGCTCAGATGTCTTATTTTGTATGACAAATTTAGCACCTCTTGCCGCTCTCGCTGCACTTTCTCCAGCAAATATGAACTTGTTGGTTCCATTAACATCCTGGGTCTCTGTGACATCGGCACAACGGACCCTGTCATTGCGGATGACAAACCGAAAGGGATTGTCCAGATTACCATGTTTCTTCAAATCGTTATTTGCTTCATGTCTTTCTTTTAGTAAAGCTGCAAATTCAGTTTGCTCAGCTGGCGTGCGGTCCGGTCTAATGTAAATACCTTTAAACTCTTGCTTACCATATAATTTTCTTGAAGATGTTAAAATTTCATTTCTTATATCAATTGTGTCAAACTCAACAACTACTAGAGGAGGTGATTGTGTAATTGAAGTAGAGTTGTTTGCTCTAAACATACAACAAACCGATTTTATGCCAGCGTTTGGGTTATCAATTGCGACACAAATATCTTTTACAATTTTTGTATCGTCGGCTATTTTATCAGCTGAACTTGGTCCTTTGGAGATCGGTAACCCTGCGATGACTATAGTTTTTGCTTTATTCTCACGTAGCTTATTGTTGTTGGTGATTGCTTGAACTAAGGCCGTATTCAAGGTACTACCTGGTTTTAACCATTGAGCAGACATCTTTTTGAACCATACATTTTCAGTAGGAGCGGCATTAGCGTTATTTGTTGTCTCTGGAATTTTTTTCGTTTCTAATTCCAGTACCAATATTCTTCCCTCGAGTTTTGTTATCTTTTCATCTTTTGCTAGATTCTCCTTTTTTATCTCGTTAATTTCCTTCTTCAAATCTAAAACTACTGTCTTCAACTCCTTCAGCCACACGTCTAGGTTTACACAAGTGTTATTAGCACCATTCCTATCTGCATCGCTTGATGGTTTCGACATTATCAATCAATATTTTATTTGGTATATATCTCAAATCGAAATACTTCGTTCTTCTATCTGGATAGGAGGGCTACCACCCTAAGTAACAGTGGATTACCTCCTGTCTGAAACAGTAAGCAACCAATATATATCTGGATAGGAGGGCTACCACCCTAAATAACAGTGGATTACCTCCTGTCTGAAACTTTTATAATATTTACTTATTACACAGGGACTAAAAAGTTTCAGTATGTGTTTTTTTCCGTATATATATATATATATATATATATATATATATATATATATATATATATATATATATATATATATATATATATATACGTATATATATATATATATATATATATATATATATATATATATATATATATATACATGTATATATATATATATATATATATATGTATATATATATATATATATATATGTATATATATATATATATATATATATATATATATATATATATATATATATTATATATATATATATATATATATATATATATATATATATATATATATATATATATATTAAAGAGCGTGTTAATCAACCAGACCAGAAAAAGTTTAAAAACTTAAATTTTTTTTCAAATGATAGACTGCCTGCCCAAACCAAACCCTCAGTCGATGTAGCAGCACTCCCTTGCGAGTCAGGCTATTTGTCAGTCGATGTAGCAGCACTCCGTTGCGAGTCAGGCTATAAGATAGTCGATGTAGCAACATTTACGCATGTTTTAAAAATGTTATTTTAATAAAATAAAAACAAAAACATCACTAATAAAAAAAAACTTTCTAGTCGTTATAATTGCGGTTTTTTAAAAAATTTTTAAAAAACAATAAAATTTAATGTACTTCCGCATTAATTTAATTGCTTTGACATTTCGACGACAATCAAATACAGCTTAAGAGACAAGGTAATTAAAATTGTAGTTGTAAGAGACTTTTTTTACATTAAAATCCTCTTTCGACTACACTCTATATATATATATATATATATATATATATATATATATATATATATATATATATATATATATATATATATATATATATATTTATATATATATATATATATTTATATTATATATATATATATATATATATATATATATATATACATATATATATATATATATATATATATATATATATATATGTATATATATGTATATATATGTATATATATGTATGTATATCTATATATAAATGTATATATATATATATATATATATATATATATATATATATATATATATATATATATATATATATATTGTATATATATATATATATATATATTGTATATATATATATATATATTTTGGAGTGCCTCTAATATGGAGTGCCTAATAATAAGTGCCTCTAATTTTGGAGTGCCTCTATATATATATATATATATATATATATATATATATATATATATATATATATATATATATATATATATATATATATATATATATATATATATATATATATATGTATATATATGTATATATATGTATATATATGTATATATATGTATATATATGTATATATATGTATGTATATATATATGTATATATATGTATATATATGTATGTATATATATATATATATATGTATATATATATATATATATATATATATATATATATATATATATATATTGTATATATATATATATATATATATATATATATTTTGGAGTGCCTCTAAGAACAACCTTTTTTTGAAATTGTCTGCTGCCATCCCCTAAATGTGTTCTATGTAATAAATTAACACTAAATTAAAAAAATTTTTGATTAAAAAAATTTTAGGGGTCGTTCACCCTTAAACATCCAACGGGTTCCTAATATTTAAAAAAAAAAGTTCTTCAAAAGTATATCATGTTGGGTCTCAAAAGTAGTGAAATTTTTTAAAAATTTTAAAAATATCATTCATTTTTTATAAAGATTACTAGTTTAAATTTTATGGCTTTTCAAACTCATTTTTTAACAAAATTATTTATCATTTTTTAACAAAAAATAAAAAGGGGTAGCAGTAACAGTATCGAAAACAGCCAAACTGATTAATCTCGAAAAGGGAATTTGCGGAATAACATCAAAATAGAGAATAACATCGAAATTGTAAAAAAAGGAATAGTATCAAAAATCCGAAAAGCAAAATAATCTCGAAACAGTTTAAAAGAGAAAAATATTGAAAAGAGACTTATTAGAATAATATTGAAATTGTGAAAAAAGGAATAGTATCGAAAATTCAAAAAACAGAATTACATCGAAATTGTGAAATAAGGAACAATTTCAAAACAGGAATTTCTAGAATTATATCGAAACTGTGAAAAAAGGAATAAAATCAAAATCAGATTTTTGATGATTAAAATGAGTTTTTGATCTTATTCTGTTTTTATTGTTTTCGACATTTATCGGAAAATCATGTTTTCGATGTTAATCATTAAAATGAATTTTTGATCTTATTCCATTTTTATTGTTTTCGACATTAATCAGAAAATCACATTTTCGATGTTAATCATTAAAATGGATTTTCGATCTTATTCCTTTTTTATTGTTTTCGATTTTGTTCCACATTTGTGAATTTCAATATAAAAACTTTTCGATATTAACCTGAAAATCACATTTTTGATCTTAATCATTTAAACGAGTTTCGGTCAGTTATTTTTTGGTACTAATCATTTTTTCGATCAGTTAATTTTTGATACTATTCCGCTTTCCCATAAAAAGTACATATTTTCAAAGTTTTAATTTAAATAAACTTTTTTAATTTGTGTTTTCATTAATTGAAAATAAATTGATTATATTTTTTGAAAATTTTATAAAATTTCACTTCTTTTGATACCCAACTTGATATACTTTTGAAGAACTTTTTTTTTCAAAATATTAGGGACCTGCATCGTTGCTGTTCCAACAGTGTTAAATATATTAATTAAAATAGCATTTTATTCAAAGTTTAAGCCAAAAGTTTTAAGGTTTGTTTTTGATTTTATTTTTTAATGTTTATAAATTAGGTAAACCTAGTTACATAGTAAGTTAAACTTAATTTTTTTAAATTTTTTTATTTTAGACAGAACTTTATGAGCAGTCTGTTTATGACATGATTGAATGGTTTTTTCAAGGGTACAATGCTACAGTTTTTGCATATGGTCACACTGTAATATTTAAAAATATTTTTTAAATTTTTTAATAAAGCTTGTATAAGTAATAATAGTTGTCGTTTAAAACTTATACTGAAAACTTTTTATTAGAATTCATTTTCTGTTAGAATACATTAAATGTAATCTAATGAAAGAGTGTTTTTATGTTGACAGGGATCTGGCAAAACATATACAATGGGTTTAGGAGCATGTTCATATTACGACGAGGAAGAATGTGGTATCATTCCAAGAGCTGTTAAAGATATTTTTAAAAATATTCAGGTATTAGATAGTAGTATATAAGTACTTTATAATGTAGTATGTTTTTATGTGAATTTACTTTATATGAATAGCTTAGTTAAAAGTATTAGTCTCTTATTTGCGTTTTTTTGACATTGAGCTTTTGCAAAAACTGTTGTTTTGAACTATTCTATATATTATTTTAAACTAGCAATAAGCAATTGAAAAACAGGTCATTATTGATTATGATATCAAGAATGCCTAATAGTTTAATAAATAAAGCATAATTTTATAAATAAAGCAAAGAGGTATGTATTATTAATAAGGTTCTTTATTATAAATAGAAGAGATGTTATTAATGATGCAGAATAATCCTTAACTCAATATGTATTATATTTAAATTCTTTTTAATATGGCCAGGATTTGTTTTGCTAGGCGTTGTAGAAATAGTACAACATTCTCATTCAAGACTATTAAGTTATAATCAAGGTAATCTTAAAAATAGTTAAAATTTTTGATCAAAGGGTATTAATTACTAAATACTCAATAAATTATTACACAAATTAGCAATCACATGATTGTGATTTCAACCTTCATTTGCTCCCTTAAATGAGATGAGAAAAATATACAATAGTATATTTTCAGAATACTGGAGGGTAATTCCACATCAAATCACCCAAATTTTTCAAGATTTTGAACCATAGGTCTCATATTTTCTTTAAACTTCTTTAGCTGTTGCATTTCATATAGAAAAGTTCACATGCAAAATTTTAGCCAAAAATGTTCAGCCGTTCACAAGATATCAAGGTTTTAATATAGACCTGGTTTCCCAAAATGACCTGGTTTCTGTGTCATTTTAAAAAAACGTTTGCTCCAATAAAATGAAAAATAATGAAAATAAAAATATGAAAATTAGCATTTATAATGCTTTTCTAATGCAGAATTCAAAAAATGCACTTAGAATGCTGAAATATGAGCAGAACATGCTTTAAAATTAAAAACACACCTAATTTATATATTCAAACTTAGGGGTCATATATCTCAAAACACCCCCGTCTAGATTTTTTTTTTTTTGCTTTTAATATTTTTAGCTACTTATTATCTTACTAGGCACAAAAAACCTAACTGGAAAAACAACTAAAACATATAGAACCATAGTTTCCAAGATACACCACTTTTATGGGTGCCCATAGCAATTTTCTAACGAGGGGGAGGGGTGAGGGAACAACAAAATATTTTTAGTGATGTTCTAATTTAGTTCAATTTACCAAGAATACTTAAAAAAAAGCATATTGCAAAAGATATGGTGAAAACAACTTTTTTTTATTACAGTTAGAGGGGAGGAGAATAGTGTTTCAATAACACCTGGCATTGCCATATCTCTGTCATTTAAACCATTTAGCCAATAAAACATATCAAACTACTTTGTATGAACAGTAGTTACTTAGTAGTGATAAGTTGTAGATGATAAGTTGAGACATCATTGTTAACTCTTATCAAGCTCCAATTATCCTACAGCCAAAGATTTGGAAATATCTAATACTATATCATTATTTAATATATTTAAAACTAGAGCTTTTTTTTTTACTGAAAACTAAGTAGGAAAGTTCTTTTTTTTTTTGTATCCTTCGAATTGCTTTTTTCTTACTGCAAAAGCATTCAATACACTTCATTGCAAACTAATTAAAAAATTAAAAGGGTATGGCATCACTTAAAAGCTGCTAAAAATCTTCCTAAAGATAGTACATGTGTAGCAAATTATAGAATTCTGTAAAGAATTAATTTTGGTTAATAGACTTTTTATATATTTAAGGAAGTCTTAATTATATGATAACTTAATTATATGAACTTAACAACTGAAAAAACATCCGGTTTTGTTTTTATATAAAAACATTTTATAAAAAATAATTGTTATGTTAATATGATATTTTTTTTAATTTTGACAACTATAGTTTGTAAAAGTTTATTAAAAATTAGTTTATAAAAGTTTAGTTTATAAAAGTTCAGATATAGAACAACATTTATTGGTAAGATTATATTTAAATTTTAAAAAATTAATAATTTAAATAATATAATTATTTAAAAACTTCTTTTTTTACAACATTTATTATTAATATTAATAAAAATAATATTAAGAACAACATTTATTAAAAATTATATTTATTAAAAAACTTTTTTTACATACAATTAAGTAGAAGAATTTTATTTTTATTTTTAGGAAATACTTTCATACTAAATAATTTATCTTATTAAGATGTGTTCTATTGGGTTAATGACATCAGATGCTTGCGAAGGCCAACAAGATGTTATTGAAACTTTAAGCAATGAAGAAAAAATAATTATATCTTTACGCTGTAATATTGAATTATCAAACTTAGAAATATTATGTGAAAGACATAATACAAAATATTTGAAAATGTATCCTATATGGCAGAAAGCTTGTTGTGATCCATTCAATAGACATACAAAGAAAATCACAAGTATGTAGCTGACACAGCACAAGTATGTAAAATTTAAATATTTCATTAATTTATGTTTTTCAAAAAATAAACGAAAGTTTTGAACTAATGTGCAGACATACTTTATACAATTCAATTACTTTTAGAAAATCTTGGCGTAGTTACAATAAAAGAGTCACAAGTCATGATGAGAAATTGTTTGAATATTCCTCCTGGGAAGAAACTTTGCAAACCTTGTAAACAAAAGATTGCCAGAAAAAAAGAACTTACAGAAGAGGAGCAAAGTAAGAGTGAACAAGATGAGGATTTTCTAATATCACCATGCAAAAAAATAAGACAGGAGATCAATAAAGAACTCAAAAATTTTAGTTTATCTCCTCTAAAATCTCATTCAAAATCATTAAAACATATACTGTCAGAAGGAAAGCAAAAAGTTGCATGCATCAACGAAATGGCGTATAACGCTACTAGAAAAATTGAAACTCAATTTTCCTCAAAACTATGTTATGAAACCAATGGGATGAAAAAGAAGGCTGCAAACTTTGATGAAATTATGAGCTTGGTAAAAGAAAAAATTCTATGTTCTGACAAACGAACTATTGTTCAACTTCTAACACTGGCACCCCCAAGTTGGTCAATATTAGAAGTACAAAATAACTTTTCGGTTACAGAATACCAGGCCAAGATGGCTAGAAAAATTTTTAATAAAAAAGGATTGTTAGGTATCTCTCCATTGTATAAGGGTAAAGTCTTACATAAAGAAATAGAAGATTCAGTTAAATTGTTTTATGACTCAAGTGATTTATGTCGAACTATGCCTGGAAAAAAAGATTATGTCAGCATTCAAAAGAACGTCCACAAACAAAAAAAACTGCTTTTGTGTAATTTAAAGGAACTATATGTATTATACAAAGAAAACAATCCAGAAATACAAATAAGTTACTCAAAATTTGCTTCACTTAGACCAAAGTGGTGCATTGTGCACAGTGTGATAATTGTCCTGGTAAAGAACTGCTCACCATGTATTTGTATGAGATTTTTGGAGAATACGAAGATGATTTTGAGATACACTACAAACAATGGCAAACTACTGATCGTGCAACACTATTGAGTTTAACAACAGATGTTCCAACGTTTATTGAACTATTGGTATCTTGTTTTGAAAAGCTACAATCTCATTCTTATATTGCCAAATCTCAATCACAATACCTTAATCAACTAAAAGAAAATATGGATCAATCAAACATTATCATTCTTGGCGACTTTGCTGAAAATTATGCTTTTGTAGTCCAAGATGAAATACAGAGCTATCACTGGAACACCCAACAATGTTCTTTACATCCATTAGTGATATACTATAAAGAAGAAAATGGTGTAGTGAAACATATTTCTTACTGTTTTATATCAGACGACATTATACACGATGTAACTTATGTATACAAGATATTTCAACTAATTATACCAATATTAAAAACAAAATTTCTTGATTTATCCAAATTGCATTTATTCACTGATGGTTGTGCAGGACAGTACAAAAATTGTAAAAGCTTTTACAATCTATGCCAACTAGAGACAGAATTTTCCCTCAAAATTGAATGGAACTTTTTTGCCACGTCCCACGGAAAGTCACCATGCGATGGAATTGGTGGTACTGTAAAAAGGTTAACAGCACAAGAAAGTTTAAAACGACCATACAGAAACCAAATTCTCACATCAGAGGCTATGTATGAATTTTGTGTTGAGAAAATTAAGGCTGTTAACTTCATTTACATAAAGGGATTGGACTTACAATTGCAACGTGAAAAGCAAAAAGAAAGGTACACTGATGTAACAACTCTACCAGGTACTCGTAGCTTTCATCAATTTATACATCTTGGAGATAATAGGGTTGGGGCGAAGAGGTGTAGTACAGACACTAAATATACAATAATTCACAATCTTAAAAAGAAACATATATTTGAACCTGATACTGTCACTTTAGGAGGTTATGTTGCGGTAGTTTATGATGATAAGTGGTGGATCGGCATTGTAACTGAAATCAACCTAGAAGAAGTTGATGCTGAAGTTAAGTTTCTCCACCCAAGAGGTCCATCAATCTATTTTAACTGGCCTGAAAGAGACGACCACTGTTTTATTCCTAACATCAATATATTGAAAAAACTATCTGTTCCACAAGCTTGCTCTAGTTCTGGTAGAAACTATGTGTTTGAAAATGTTGAAATAGAAGAAGTGCAAGTAAAATGGCAACAATATTGTGAACTATTACAAATACAGTCAAAATAACTTGCACATTCGATACCTTTAAAAATCTTGTATATTTAAGTAACTTTGTAAATTAGGAATAATTTATTTTAATTGAATTTATAAATATTTTTTAGGAATTTCTTAAAAAAGTTATACATCTTTAAAATTAAAGTTCTATATGTTTCAGTTTTTTTTCCAGTAAGATTTTTTGTGCCTAGTAAGATTATAACTAGCTTAAAATATTGAAAGCAAAAAAAAAAAAAATTTGACGGGGGTGTTTTGAGATATTGGGCCCTAAAGTTAGATTATATAAACTAGTTGATTTATTAATTTTTAAGGATGTTCCTCTAACATTTCAGCATTTTAAGTACATTTATTGAATTCAGCATTAAAAAACCATTATAAATGTATATTTTTATATTTTTGCCATTTTTATTTCTTATTTTATTGAGGAAAACAACTTTTCAGAATGTTATGAAAACCGGGTCATTTTGAGAAACCAGGTCCAAATTAAATTTGCTGTATCTTGTCAACCGCTTGACATTTTTAGCTGAAATTTTGCATGCAATATTTTTTTATAAATAGGAATCATGTGTCAAAATTTAAAACAAAAAGAAGACACATGGTTCAATGGAGTGGGTGATTTGATGTGGAATTACCCTGGATATTTTTCTTAACTTTTAGTTTTTCCGGATATCCAAAACATTTTCCATACATATAAGTTTAGGTATATATTTTTGTAATATATTTGTTTTTTAATCTTTTTTACTCATCATTCATAGAAAAGATTTGGATAAAAAATTTAAAACAACTCAGCTAAAAGCAAATTTAAGAGAAAAATATATTCTGGATATTTTACCCAAATAACTTTCCAGATTTTTAAAATATGACCTGGATGATCTATGATACCAAATTTCATCAGTAGGTTGACTCAACTAAAATAATAGTATTCAGTAGAACATGATAGAACTAAAAAATAAAGACATACATGCCTAAACTTGTATAAAATTTATTTTTTTCTATTACCATAATGGGATGATGAAGTTAAAACTAAAAAAATTTAAAAAGTCAAATTTAATAAAAAGTTAACGTTTGTAAAAAAAAACAAAATAAAAAACTTATATAAAATTTATAATTTCTTCCCAAAAAAAAATAATAAAAAAAATAAAAGAGCTAGCTTATTTTTAATTAAAAAAAATTGCTAAAATAAATAGAACAATTAATTAAAAATTCTAAAAATAAAATAGATGTAGATATATCTGTTCAGAAATATCTTTAAATTTAATAAAAGTATAATATTTTACTTATTATATTTTACTTATTAGTATAATTTATATAAAAAGTTAAAAAAAAGTTGGACTATCTGGATTTTACTTACCTGCTTCATAAACTCGTCTAATAAAACAAGAAAAAAATATTAACACAAATTGAGACTTTTTAGAATGGTTTTTTAAGTATAAATTAACAAAAGTAATACTAACATTGCATTATTTTTAAATTAGCTACAATTATTATGATATTGTGGATTGATTATAGTATGATATTAGTCTTTGTTCTAAAATTCTTTAAGTAAAAAAAAAAAATTTAACTAAATTATCTAAAAATTCAGTTTCAGTGCATTTAGTTACATTCATTTGCAAATGAATGTACTCATAATGTTTATATTTAGTAAATAAATAAATATACTAACTGATCCTCTAGATCTTCATCTAAACAATGATGAAAGCACTTTTATTAAAATGATGAAGATATGATATTAGATCGTGGGATAAAAAAAAACAACCTGAAAAATAAGTTTGTTATTTCTTTTTAGCACCAAGTTATTTAAGATTTTTTAAAAGCCATTATGTAGAAATTGAAAATTTCACATTCAAATTCTCCATATTCTATATATGATGTTCAAATATAAAAGCTTATAAATTTTATGTTTATATGAATAAAAGATAATGCAGTCTTCTTCGTTTAGCCAGCGCTTTCACACTCAAGTCTTTTCACAATTGCCCACATGCCCACAAAAACTTTGGCGAGCGCTTAAAAAGTGGTTGCCAAAAAACTAAAAGCGTTTTGTTTTAAATTGCAACAAAACTTCTTTTGCACAACTTTTATAAAAAATTGTTTTTTTTTTAGCAGTTTTTTTAAAATAAATTTATCTAGTATTTATTCAAAGCATTCTTTACGATATTTTTATTTAAAAGTATTTACAATGCTATAAATCGCAAGAGAATGTCTTAAATCTCGACAATGGTAACTTAGTAATGAACTTGAAATATATTTATAACCAATAAGTAAAAAAAGTTAGTCAACAAAATAAACAATAAACGAAATATTTTCTTCTTTTAATTTTACAAAAATTACACTAATTATAAATTTTAATATTTTAGCACTAGAGGCCTTTCAAAAAATCATCATTAGTGCTGTTTTTGTTATCATAACAACAAAATATAATGGTATATATATAGGTGTTATGCGCACATTGACAATTGTAAACATTAAATAGAATATTACATTCTTACTATTACAAGAAATATGGCAAAACTCCAAGGGCCAGCTCCCCAAAATCAATCAAAAGAAATTTTTCCTTAGTTACAACTTTTTATAGCAATCTGAACTGCCAACCTTTTATTGCTGAAACAAATCTTTTGCTTAATCTATCTTCAAATGAAAGAGTGAAAGAAGTTTTTTCTGATATCCAACCAGTAATTGCGTTTAATCAACCACCCAATATACTGAAAACACTTACTTCTTCAAAAATTCAATCAACCAGTAAAGAAGTAGGATTATTAATGATAATCGTTGTAAAATATGTAAATTCTACCTTCAAGAAGTTAAATCATTTACAACATCAAATGGTACTATATGGAAGATAAAAAGCCATATTACTAAAATTAAAAGAAGAAAATGTTTCTTTTATTGTTTATTTTGTTGAATAACTTTTTTTACTCATATATATATATATATATATATATATATATATATATATATATATATATTATATATATATATATATATATATATATATTGTGTTTTTGATGTTATATTTCATTCTTGCAATTTCTGGACTAATACCTATAGATTTTATTGTTTTTAGATGTATTTGCTGTATTTCGTGCTTTATTTTGATACTGATTGTACACAGTGCACTATAGATTAATTGACTTAGTCCAATTTTTTGGTATATTGTTACTTGTATTTCGCTATGAAAGCCTAGTTTTTTTAGACTTAATTAGGTAATGAGCTGAGGTAAATTTGGGCATGATGCGCTGCCATTGTTGGTCGTTGTTTATTTCTATATTGAAATCCAATTCTAGGTATTTATATGATGTTACATATTTGAGAGATATGGAGTTGATGGAAAAAGTTGGTGGTGGGCTTGTGTCAAGTTTGTTACTAGGTATGCTCATGATTTTGCATTTTGTTATGTTTAATAACATTTTGTTTTTGATACACCATTTATTAACTTTTTTTCAATTTTCCTGTGGTAGGGTTAAGTGAGTGAGTTCTCCAACAATGTATGCAAGGATGTCATCAGCATAATTGTATAGTTTAGTATTGCAGTCAAATATATCTTTTATATGAAGTATAAAGAGAAAGGGTTCAACTGCTTTGCCTTGGATGATCCCAGCTTCCACAGGTCGTCATTCTGTAGCTATGCCATAAATTTGATGATATCTGGTCTGTAGGTACAATGCAATCCAGGAAATAAACCATTTACAGAGGTATGTTGATATTTTGGTAAGAAGAAGCTTGTGATCAACTATATTGAAGGCTTCAGCAAAGTCATAGAATATTGCAATTAAATTTTTCTTTTGTCTTTAGCAAGATGCCAGTCTTCTAACACATGTAATTGCATCCATGGTACTTCTACCTGGTAGGAAGCCATATTGTTTGTTGTTTTCTAAAATAGTGTGAGTATGGTGGATAATAAATTTGGCGACAACTCTTTCTAATGTCTTGCAGAGATGGGTTGTGAGAGAGATTGGGGTGTGAGAGAAATTGGGTTTTACCAGTGTCTTGGGTATTGTAATTTAGCAATAGGTGTTATGTTTGCAAGTTTCCATTGATAAGGTGTAAATGAGTGAGACAAACACTGGTTAAACAGGAGACTTAAAATATCGGAGATTTTAAGATGAATGCGTTTGAGTAGTTTTGGGAAGATATTAAATAAAAAATTTTTATGGTGGGGATGACTGGAAGTATCTGCTTCCAAATAATAAATCTACCAATTTTAAACCAAGTTTTGACAGTTGGCACCAATAGTAGCTATATTCCAATCAATTTAATTTTATTTTTAATATGTCTGTTTTAGTCCTAATTAACAAATACGTACATTTAAAAATCACAATTTTGTACATATAAGAAACCTATCTAGTTAAAATCAGTTTCGTACATATGAGAGACTTATCTAGTTGAAATCAGTTTTGTACATATGAGAGACCTATCTAGTTGAAATCAGTTTCGTACATATAAGAGACCTATCTAGTTGAAATCATTTTCGCATATATAAGAGACCTATCTAGTTGAAATCAATTTCGTGCGTATAAGAGACCTATCTAGTTAAAATTAGTTTCGTATATATAAGAGACCTATCTATTTGAAATATATTTGAAAAAATCACTAAAATATGATGTTTAATGAAATAGAGTATATCGATAAAAAAAATTATATTGTTATTAAAATGAATTAAATCTTAGAAGTGTTTTTAAAACTTGGTGAGGATTTTACAAAGTGGTATCACTAGGAAAAGATCCAGTTAGAATAAGAGGATGCGAAGCAACAAATACTGGCTGTGGAACAATTTATGTTGGAGCAACAAAAGTAGCTGACGCCTTGTATGCACTTTTTAATTTTTTCCTAGTTTTTTCAAAGCATTTTTCATTTTGAGTAGGTCATGTAGCTTCCTTTCACTCTCCAATGTGGAACACTGATGTGTTCCAACATTGTTTTGAATGAGTTTTACTGCTCTTTCAGATAAATCGTTGACCACATCAACAGATTTGACAAAGTTCCAGAACTCAAAATATCCTGAAAATTCTTCCCAAAAAATCTGAGGAAGTTCTATTCAGATGCATTTTTCCATATTATGCCCCAAGATTAACCATATGCAACCAATGATTAAGATATGCAGT